CTGTCACTGAGCTTGAACTGACCCACCTGGGGAATTTGTGCTTCCCATCTCTTCAACTTTAGGCTCTGCTGGACTAGAGTGCACATAGAAAGGGTTTCACTAAAACTATGGCAGATGCCTGCTCATTTGGGGTCCTGATGCCAGTAGACCAGTAAGAAAGGAGAAGAGCAACTATCCTGGCAGGAGTAAGTGATTATCATATAGAAATGGGGGCAGGGAGGAATATACCTGGAACTCGGGGGTTTCACTGGGGTGACTCTTCGTGTTGCTATGCCTGGTGATAAATGTAAATTGGCTATTTAAGCAAACAGGGTCTGCCAAGAGCCTGCTAACCAGGGACTAAGGCCTTCTAGGGCTGAAAATCTGAGTTACCCCACCAGTCAAGCAACTGAGAGAAGCAGAAGACGAGCCAAGTGTGAAGAGAATCTAGAATGCATGTGTATTAGTTTGCCACCAGGGCAAAATACCACAGACTGGGGGGCTTAAACAATAGAAGTTAGCTTTCTCACAGTTCTAGAGGGTGGAAGTCCAAGGTTAAGGGGCTGGCAGGGTTGGTCTCCTCTGAGGCTTTCTCCTTGGCTTGCAGATGAGCCCCTCATGTTGCCTCTTCACCTGGTTGGCCCTTTGTGCACATTCTCTTCTTAGAAGGACACCAGTCAGATTGAGTAGGGCCCCATTCCAATGGCCTGACATCACCTTAATCACCTCTTCAAAGGCCCCATCATTCTAAGGTACTGTGAGTTGACTCTTCAATATATGAATTTGAGGGGGGGCTACAATTCACTCGTTAACAGGCTGATAGAGGAAGATGATGACTGCCAATTATGGACTCAGGATCATCTGTAACAACTCCCTGGTGTATGTGCGTGTTTCGGAAACTGACTCTTGAAATAATGACAGGATGGAGTACAGTTCACTTGGGGAGTACAAATGGATCTAAGCCACACGGGGGTCAGACACTGCTGGCAGGCCTCTGTCCACATCCCTTCAGCACCTACCATTTCTTTAAACATCAGCTGAACCTCCATCTGCCAGGAACTGCATCCCTCCCAACAGCTCTCAGGCTCCCAGTGTTTGTGGCAGGCCGAAATGCCAGGGAATTTTTGCCTCCTGGGAGCAGCCCTCAACCAGTGGCTGATGGGAGTTGGGGAGTGAAAATCCCAGCGCCGCCCCCACAGGTGAGCTCCCTCCCATCCCACACTGTTCCCCAGGAGTCCCCAGAAGACTGAGGCTCCAGCCACCCACAGAGGCAACTCGCTTGAGAACACACTTTTTGACTATCCTCTCCTTCCTTTTTCTTTACTTCCCCACTTCCCCACTGGTGCTTTCTGGGATCACCCACACACACACCAGAAAAAGTACCTGCACTCAAATCCTTATTACAGGGTCTGCTTCTGGTGGAACCCAAATTAAGATACCAGCTTCTGTACAGTGGCTCATATTTAAATTTACATGTATACTTATTTCACTGGGTTCCCTCCCTTTACATGTCTTTTGTGTCTCTCAGCTGGTTGTTCCTCTAGGTATGTTCTCCTCTAGGCCACCAATTCTTCCTTACTACTGAATCACGTGCTGGGGATACAGCAGGAAAAATGATAGGGAGGGGGCCCTGTTCTCATGGAGGTTACCACCTAGAAGGGAAGATAGGCTTTGAACACTTAATTTCAAGAATGAATAGTGTATTAGCTAAAAAGAAGCAAATAATAAATTTGCAAAAATGTGAAGAAAAAAGTTTTTATCAAAAAATGGTAAAGAAGTCATGTTTAAATAATGACACCATGTTCCTGGATAGAAATTTTCAGTGTTGTAAACTGTTATTTTTCTCTAAATTATAAATTCAATTCAGACTGTGGTCTCCAAGTGCTATTTCTCATTGGCTAATTACAAGTCTAGGGAAGGAAGTTTATAAGAAGAGCCTGGAACATTTGGTCATATTATAATGTGTTTTACTTCTCTTTTGCTGGGAAATAAACCTCCCCCAAACCCAGGGGCTTAAAACATACAAAAAATAAAAAACAACAAGAAAGAATGAACGAATTGCAAAAATGAAGGAGTCACTCTTGCAACAGAAAGAATGAAAATCAAGAAAAATATGGGAGGGGAAAAGATACAGCAGTGGAATCCAACTTCGTCCAGAGGCAGGAACAGTGCCTCCCTGAGGAAGTGACTTGCAACTGACACTTGAAGGATCAGCACTAAGTAGCAAGGCACCAGTCTCTGTCTGCATTTGTCCAGCCGTTTTGTCCTTCTAACAACAGCAAATGTGACAAGGAGTCAAATACAGCTTGGAAGAGAGAGATGCTTAATGCAAAAATGCAAAATAAATCCCAAATCACCAAGAGCTGTTATTTTATTTTGTATCAAATTGAAAGAGCAATAAAATAAAAATATGTTCAATTCATAAAACACTTTCACATCAATTACACTGACCAATAGAGAGAAAAGTGAAATCCCTGAGGAATTGCCAACAATAAATAAAATATTTAAAAATAGATTGTTCTGCGTTTGAAGGAAAATTTTCTGAGCTTGTTCAAATTGGGGAAGTCGGTGGCCCTTTGCAAACTTCAGTTTCTCAAAAGGATATCCAACTGATGCAAGTTTCCTGCCATGACAAGAAGCTGCCACTTTAAGTAGCACCTTTCATTAAAAAGGGGGAATAATCAATCATCGTTCCATTTGTCCATTGGTCTTGGAAAGATTTGCACAGAGCAGGAGAGGAAAATATTTGCTTTTTGTGGTAACAGAATTTTACAACATACCATATGAGTACCCATGTTATTTTAACTTGCCATTAACTAAAATGTCTGTTTCCTCCAGTGTGTGAATATTATACAAAAGGCACATAACCTCCCTGCTGTTTGTGAGTGACCAAAGGAACCCAGATATTTGTGAAAGGTTGATGATGACACTTTAAAAATTCCAGGATCTAGCAAGGGAAAAATTCTTTGTGAAGACCCAGGATTGAGGACCAGTTTTGTAACTCTAAAAGTCTCTTCAGGAATAGAACAAAAATAGCATATTTCATTGATTCTACGATGTACTTTTTCTTTCACACTTTAGCATCTCAAATTCAAATGAAATTGGCCATTAACTGTCACAAGTTAGCTGTCAACTCCCCTACCTGACTTTCTTGGTGGTATATAAGATATAAAGCCATGCTTTACACTCGATGGCTTCTTAGGTTAGATTAAAGTGATACAGTGGGTACATACAGTGAGCCATATAAAAGTAAATCTGCTATTTTAACCCTGGTAGTTTTCCCAGTTGAAAAGATGCTGGCAAAAACATTTGGCATCTTAAATTTCAACTGAACATCACAGCCTCAGGATTAGGAGAATGGTGATGTGGGATGAGCTTACATGAGCCTGACATCACCTTAATCACCTCTTCAAAGGCCCCATCATTCTAAGGTACTGTGAGTTGACTCTTCAATATATGAATTTGAGGGGGGGCTACAATTCACTCGTTAACAGGCTGATAGAGGAAGATGATGACTGCCAATTATGGACTCAGGATCATCTGTAACAACTCCCTGGTGTATGTGCGTGTTTCGGAAACTGACTCTTGAAATAATGACAGGATGGAGTACAGTTCACTTGGGGAGTACAAATGGATCTAAGCCACACGGGGGTCAGACACTGCTGGCAGGCCTCTGTCCACATCCCTTCAGCACCTACCATTTCTTTAAACATCAGCTGAACCTCCATCTGCCAGGAACTGCATCCCTCCCAACAGCTCTCAGGCTCCCAGTGTTTGTGGCAGGCCGAAATGCCAGGGAATTTTTGCCTCCTGGGAGCAGCCCTCAATCAGTGGCTGATGGGAGTTGGGGAGTGAAAATCCCAGCGCCGCCCCCACAGGTGAGCTCCCTCCCATCCCACACTGTTCCCCAGGAGTCCCCAGAAGACTGAGGCTCCAGCCACCCACAGAGGCAACTCGCTTGAGAACACACTTTTTGACTATCCTCTCCTTCCTTTTTCTTTACTTCCCCACTTCCCCACTGGTGCTTTCTGGGATCACCCACACACACACCAGAAAAAGTACCTGCACTCAAATCCTTATTACAGGGTCTGCTTCTGGTGGAACCCAAATTAAGATACCAGCTTCTGTACAGTGGCTCATATTTAAATTTACATGTATACTTATTTCACTGGGTTCCCTCCCTTTACATGTCTTTTGTGTCTCTCAGCTGGTTGTTCCTCTAGGTATGTTCTCCTCTAGGCCACCAATTCTTCCTTACTACTGAATCACGTGCTGGGGATACAGCAGGAAAAATGATAGGGAGGGGGCCCTGTTCTCATGGAGGTTACCACCTAGAAGGGAAGATAGGCTTTGAACACTTAATTTCAAGAATGAATAGTGTATTAGCTAAAAAGAAGCAAATAATAAATTTGCAAAAATGTGAAGAAAAAAGTTTTTATCAAAAAATGGTAAAGAAGTCATGTTTAAATAATGACACCATGTTCCTGGATAGAAATTTTCAGTGTTGTAAACTGTTATTTTTCTCTAAATTATAAATTCAATTCAGACTGTGGTCTCCAAGTGCTATTTCTCATTGGCTAATTACAAGTCTAGGGAAGGAAGTTTATAAGAAGAGCCTGGAACATTTGGTCATATTATAATGTGTTTTACTTCTCTTTTGCTGGGAAATAAACCTCCCCCAAACCCAGGGGCTTAAAACATACAAAAAATAAAAAACAACAAGAAAGAATGAACGAATTGCAAAAATGAAGGAGTCACTCTTGCAACAGAAAGAATGAAAATCAAGAAAAATATGGGAGGGGAAAAGATACAGCAGTGGAATCCAACTTCGTCCGGAGGCAGGAACAGTGCCTCCCTGAGGAAGTGACTTGCAACTGACACTTGAAGGATCAGCACTAAGTAGCAAGGCACCAGTCTCTGCATTTGTCCAGCCGTTTTGTCCTTCTAACAACAGCAAATGTGACAAGGAGTCAAATACAGCTTGGAAGAGAGAGATGCTTAATGCAAAAATGCAAAATAAATCCCAAATCACCAAGAGCTGTTATTTTATTTTGTATCAAATTGAAAGAGCAATAAAATAAAAATATGTTCAATTCATAAAACACTTTCACATCAATTACACTGACCAATAGAGAGAAAAGTGAAATCCCTGAGGAATTGCCAACAATAAATAAAATATTTAAAAATAGATTGTTCTGCGTTTGAAGGAAAATTTTCTGAGCTTGTTCAAATTGGGGAAGTCGGTGGCCCTTTGCAAACTTCAGTTTCTCAAAAGGATATCCAACTGATGCAAGTTTCCTGCCATGACAAGAAGCTGCCACTTTAAGTAGCACCTTTCATTAAAAAGGGGGAATAATCAATCATCGTTCCATTTGTCCATTGGTCTTGGAAAGATTTGCACAGAGCAGGAGAGGAAAATATTTGCTTTTTGTGGTAACAGAATTTTACAACATACCATATGAGTACCCATGTTATTTTAACTTGCCATTAACTAAAATGTCTGTTTCCTCCAGTGTGTGAATATTATACAAAAGGCACATAACCTCCCTGCTGTTTGTGAGTGACCAAAGGAACCCAGATATTTGTGAAAGGTTGATGATGACACTTTAAAAATTCCAGGATCTAGCAAGGGAAAAATTCTTTGTGAAGACCCAGGATTGAGGACCAGTTTTGTAACTCTAAAAGTCTCTTCAGGAATAGAACAAAAATAGCATATTTCATTGATTCTACGATGTACTTTTTCTTTCACACTTTAGCATCTCAAATTCAAATGAAATTGGCCATTAACTGTCACAAGTTAGCTGTCAACTCCCCTACCTGACTTTCTTGGTGGTATATAAGATATAAAGCCATGCTTTACACTCGATGGCTTCTTAGGTTAGATTAAAGTGATACAGTGGGTACATACAGTGAGCCATATAAAAGTAAATCTGCTATTTTAACCCTGGTAGTTTTCCCAGTTGAAAAGATGCTGGCAAAAACATTTGGCATCTTAAATTTCAACTGAACATCACAGCCTCAGGATTAGGAGAATGGTGATGTGGGATGAGCTTACATGCTAGCTCTGGTTCTGTCCCTGATAAGTAAGGGAATTGATTTCACACTTCTGGATCTCATTTCCTCATTTGTAAAGTGAGAAAGTATCATCAGATGGCTTCTAAGTCTTTAGTCAAGAAGGAAGGTTATTGTAAATTTTGCCCCACCAAGTGTGTGTCCCGGTGGAAATTCCATAGCCACACTGGCCCAAAGCCAAAGGGCCTCTGCAGGTTGGTGGTTCAGACCCCTCTGTGGCCACCCCTACCCCCTGCCAGAGTCAAAACTCCAAATCCAGAGATTTTCCTCAATCAAGTAGAAAATAACTCATTTACAACTTTAGTAACTGATGGAAAATGGTAATTCTTCAGTCTGGGGCAATTTGTAAACTTGTTTTAAAAACTTCAGAACACTACTAACTTAAGTTGATCTAAATGTTGACCATAAATTTAAAATATCAAAAAATTACAGCAAGGTTTCACTTCAAAGTCTTCATGATTGACGTAGTTTGGCTATATATTCTACTGGGCTGAGTGCTTCCTTCCATGCCAGAGAAGCACCAGCTGGAAAAAGCTGTGTTTTCTGAAAGAAAATAACAAAGAAATTTCATTTGAACCAAACCATTCATGTCAGCGCCCTGCTCCTACCTTGAGATTTTGATTCAATGAGAGTAAATGTGCTTGGTCAAGGAAAACAAATGATGAGGAATGGGTATTCCCAGTGATGAAAAATGGAATGTGATGACAATAACATTGCTTTATGGTAAATAACACATGTATTTATGTTTTTTGATGCATATATTTTTAAATTTAAAAGTTATAACTTGTCTTAACTAAACATATTAGAATCAAAAACAGGAATAGCAGTTAAAATCAACAACTGCCAAACAAATTTCAAATTCCTAAAGCTTCCTATTTAAATTTCAATTCTGAAGGCTCAAATTATTTTAAATGTAGTAAGTAGCTTAATTAGACTATTAACTAAGGTTGAATCCCTTCTTTAAAATGCTCTTCAGTTCAGTCAGTTATGTATATGTTGAGCCCCTGTTCATGGAGCCGCAGTGAAATTATAGAACTCAAGTAAGTATGTTGGATTAGCACATTGCATTCAAACAGAAAACTTCTAGGCTCTGAGGAACTAGCATCGTTGGGTCAAATGCTACTACTAAGCAACAGAATATATATTTTACACAAACAAGGTGAGGGCAGGAAAGAAAGAGGTAAAAAATAAAAAGAAACTCTTGGAGCTGCCAAGGCCCTCTCCTATCCATCATCTATGTGGCGTTCCAGAGAGTGCATTTCACCTTTGAATCCCAAGTCCCTGATTTCCCATGTTCCTACTCTCCCTCTAACATGGGCCTTGCCTCTTCCCATGAGAAAGAGGGAGGCTTATGAAATGAAAAAGAAATAATGACTGGTTGTCAAGAATACAATTTGTTTGTAGGTCAGAAAATTACATATAATTAGAGGGTAGAGTATTTTATGTCTTCAATTTTCATTATCTTTTAGAGCAAAACTGCTTAAACATTAAACATATTTATTAAGCAATTTAAGGATATACATTTAAATATAAATAGATACTGACTGTTTCTATCTGATCAAAACAACATGGCTTCTGTCCCACTAGCTAACTGGCTATAAGTCTCAAAGTAGGTGTTTTTAGAGGACTGAAGACAAGCAATGTTTGATGTACTCACTTCAAGAACTTTCCAGGGGTATAGAACACTGAAGGAAAACCACTATGGAGCACTATTAAAACCTGTTTTGTTTCATAAGTGACAGTAAATGCCACCAACACCACACCAGGAAGGCCATTCTAGTTCCATTATGACTTCCTGCATCCCACTAACTCCTCCTGTCTTCCTAGGAACACACTAGACCAGGAATATGCAAGAGGGTCAACTCTTCAAAACAGTTTTAATTAAAGAAGTAATATATTTTCATTGTACACAAATTGGAAAAGATGGGTAAACAAACACTATTAGCTGTTTAGTAATGTACCCTTTTGGACTTTTTCTTTGCTCATATATGCATACGTCATCATACCCCAAGATATCCTCATTTGGGTTAAAAGAATTATACAGAATGAAGAGTTTCATTTAGTATTGCTATTTTGGCTTCAGAGGCATTCCTTCAAGTCTGTGAAGACTGATGATGACTTGGGACAGGTTGGGAGCACCTAAGTGTCAAAGAAGAGAGCCATCTCTGCAGCTACAGTTGGCTTAGTAGTTCTGCTCTGGGAATCCTTAAGATTTGCTAGTTCCGAGCAGTAATAATCTGGTGCAGGATACCCCTACATGCCCTTACATAATAGGTGAGTGTGATAATATTTGCCTCATTTTCACAGATTTCTTTTTCCTTGACTTCTCCCCTTTAGGGAACAGGGAGTACACTAAAGGTTAAATTATTTCAAGTGAGAATCATGTGGATTTTGTTTGTGAGCTCTGCCCTAAGAGTAGGTGCATAATAGCCACAGAAGAGCTTAACAAGGGCAGAAAAAGAATTACAGAATAACTAATGAAGGGAAAAAATCCTCACTGAAATAGGTATGGAGCTGTGGGGTCCAGAGAGGCCATCCTGCAGGAACATCACTCCCACCAAGGTGCCAGCCTGAAGCAAGGCCTTGCTTGTTTGTAGTGGTGTTATAAAGAAAAGCTTCAAAAACTTCAAAAATAAAATCACCAGTCTAAATGAAACTTGATTTTGTGAAAATTAAAGGTTCTTACCATTGCGTTACTGATAGATCAAACTGTAGTTATCAATCAAAGAATAATCAGGATCATCTGCTAAGGACAGAACACAGCAACATTAAGCTTTTATTTTCTCATGATAAGATCTTAGCCCTTTTTTAAGGCATTCCACTTAAAGAGTCTAGTGACTGCCCTTTTGTAAAAAGAAAATGTATCTGGCAACAAAACCTATGGTAGTCCTGATTACAAACCAGAGAATCATTCATTCACACATTCTGGAAATCACGATTATTATTTCTTTGCCCTTTTCCATCCACACCAAGATAGCAGCTCCTGAAGTAAAATCATCTTTAAAAAATGGATTTAAAAAAGGTTGCACATCAAGAAACAACACATGTTGGTGAGGATGCAGAGAAAAGGGACCCCTCTTGCACTGTTCGTGGAAATGTAAATTGGTTCAACCACTGTGGAAAGCAATGTGGAGGTTCCTTAAAAAGCTAAAACTAAAAATACCATTTGACCCAGTCATTCCACTCCTAGCAATTTATCCAAAGAAAATAAAATCCCTGATTTGAAAAGATATATGCACCCCTATGTGTACTGCTGCACTATTTACAATAATCAAGATATGGGAGCAACCTAAATGTCCATCAATAGATGAATGGATAAAGAAGATGTGGTACATACACACAATGAAATATTTTTCAGCTATAAAAATTAAAGAAATCCTGCCATTTGCAACAACATGGCTGGATCTAGGGGGTATTATGCTCAGTGAAATAAGTCAGGTGGTGAAAGACAAATACGAAATGATTTCGCTTATTTGCAGAATATAAAAACAAAGCAAAACAGAAGGAACAAAAGAAGCAGTAGACTCATAAACACTGAGAAGGGACTCGTGGTTACCAAAGGGGAGGGGTTGGAAGGGTGGGTGGGGAGGGAGAAGGAGATTAAGGGGACCTATAATTGGCAATCACAACATAGGTAGATCACTGGGACAGTAATACACCACGGAGAATACAAGTAATGACTATAGTATCTTACTATGTTGAAAGACAATGACTGCAATGGAGGGGGTGAGGGCTTGGTAATATGTGTGAATGCTGAACCACTGTTTTGTGTATGTGAAACCACCATAAGATTGTATATCAATGATACTTTAACAAAAAAAAAGTCTCACATTAACAAGTAGTAATTATTTTATAAAAATAAAATAAATTTTTATATATTTTTTGAAGTTTATAATTTCAGTCACTAAATTATTTACTAAGCTGTTAAACATACCATAAGTTGTCTCTTCCCTCATTCCTTTGAACACATGTAGGTATATCTTTCATTTTTTCAAATAATAAATGTCTGTTGAGTACCTACTATGTGCCCATTACTGTGTGAGGTGTTACGAGCGACACAGGAGAAAATAAGGTGTTGGCTTTCGAGGCTCTTACAATTACCCAGGAATACAACTAACAAAAAAATGCTAAAATTTGTGTTTCTCCCAGAGGTATCACAGGAGTTCTGATTAAAAAAGAGGTCACTGTTGATGATAGCGGGAGTCTAGTAACCATAATGTTGCTCATGTAATTGTAGATTAATGATACCAAAATTAAAAAAATTTAAATAACAAAAAGAGGTCACTGTGATTAGCTTGTTATGGGAAGCATACAAAATATACAACAATGGGTTACATTTTTCTAGACATATGTGCCTTCTGTAAATTATAGTTCTATGTAATCCATAGGGAATTATGTATCAGTTTTGCTGTTCCCATGGTCCAAGTTGAAATAATCTCTTAGGTAAGATTGCCTTATAATAAATTTCTTTTGATACTCCAGGAACTGATGTCTCCTGGATAAGCTATAACATAGACCACCAATTACCAAATTTCTCTCTGTGACAAATAGCATTGTAGTAAGATTTTAATCCAGGCTTATTCTCTTGGGAATTTGATTCTAATTATTCCCTCTTCCCCCTTATTTCAAAACTCTAACTACGCAATCTTAAAGAAAAGCATTTCAAATAGCCTTTCTAAGTGGCATACCTGGTAAAGTTTTAGGAATTGGGAGAGGTCCTCTCCTGTAAGAAATGAAAAACAAAGTCTTTGAGATAAGTTCTTGTTATTTTTCTAATTTTCTACTTCACACTACAAGCATATTGCACTCTAATCAGAATCTGGTTTCTGTTCTGGAGGGCCGAGGCAAGTTCAGATGAAGGAAAAGCACCGGCCTACTGGACTCTAGGTTGCAGACATTATATGCAAAGGAACAGAATGCATGGTGGTCAGGAAGCACTCAGTGAGCTCTGCCCCCAGCAACCCGGACTGGCAGGATGAAATCTCATCTGTGTGTGCAAGCTTTCCTGATCTCCTCGTATGTTTACAGTGCTTCCACATGTAAAATGGAAAACACAAAGAGCATCTACTCATTGTGAGGATTAAATGAATGAATTCATATTAAGTGGCATTCTTAAATATTGATAATGGTCATGCAATTCTCTCCCTCTAAATATTCCTTTATGTTTATGAAAACTGGACTGAAAATTCAACAGCTTAGACTTCAAGTTGACTGCATGTAAAACAGAAGTTTCTCTTCTTTCAGGATCCTTTACAGATAAAACGTAAATGGAAGAGCATGGTCACATTTCAATAAAACATTATATATGAATAGTGAAATTTGAATTTCATATAATCTTTACACATCATGAAACAGTATCATTTTAAATATTTTTAGCCATCTAAAAATGTAAAAACTATTCTTTACGCTCAGGCCCTTCCAAAACAGGCAAGTCAGGTTTGACTCAGGGGACCAGAGTTTGCTGACTCCTGCTTTCTACAGGCTATCAGAAAGGCATAGATAGGATTTATGCACGAGGAATAACAATCATACTCAAGCATGATATAGTCCTCCTTAAACTATGATTAACATTTGTCCTAAAAATGCTACTTTCAAAAACTTAGGAACCTCACTAAGAAAATTTAGTGGTATATATGTTCCAATTCTAAAATGCTTAGAAACACATAACAAAACATTTACTGAAAGTGTTTTTCTTCACGTGAAAGGTAGCTGGTTATTACCTTGCCAAGTTAGGCCCCACAGTCTTTCCTGGTGGGGCTGCATTCTTCTGGGGACAGTAGAAATTCTCATACATAATGGGTGCTAGGAGAATCGTCGAGAAACAAAATATTAGTCTGGCATCTTCCATTCTCAATGACATGTGACAAGAAAAACTAACACAATTGCTTAAACAAACCACCAACCCTGCTGCTCCATTCACCTGGTGGAGTCTGTCCAGTTTTTCGTTGATTCACAAAGTATTCTATATCCTTCTCAATGCTGCACATCTCTAAACTCTTACGGACTTCTTCATACATCTAACGAAAAGAAGATTGATCAACATAGATGCATAGGTACACGTGTACACAAGGTACACAAAGTACACACGTAATTGTGACACAGCTCATTAAAACAACTTTGAAAGATGTCAAACTCCTTCCCAGATTTTACTTTGAAAAGAAAAAGAAGACATTCCCAAGTTTTGGACTCATATAAAAGGATTTCTCTGATATTTATAGGTTTAAAAAAATTTTTTTTAAGATGACAAGAAATGCATCTTTGTAGCAGCAGAAAATCCTTGGTGGAAAGTTTTTAAAAAAAAAAAAAACACTTACAGGACAAAGAAAATAGATACCAAGTCCAATGAAACAAGACCAATGCCACACACAAAATGCAATGACAATTACTTAACTTGGAGAAAAGTTCCTCCAGTCAATCCTACAGGTTTTCTGGGTGTTTCTTTCTTCTAAAATGAATGCCTTTCTGAGTGCAGGTGGCTATTTCTTAGCAAAAAAGGTTGTGATGATTTGTTTCTGGTCCCTCTGGAACCCCATGAGGACTGCCGTGCACAAGTTAAGCTTGGAAAATGCCCTGGGAATACCATTAAAGTAAGTCCTGAACCCTGCAGTGATCACTAGCCTGGGTATGAGTCTGTTAGTACTTGGGGCTGTCCTCAAGTGACCTATGGGACTCATATTCATGCTGTGACATCTCTGTCTTCCATAAATTAAACTGCATTTGGGTCTCACATTTCTGCTCTCTTGCCCTAACTCTGAATTTCTTTAAGATTAAGTCATGGCAGTAACATTGGACCAGGAATCAGGCAGGCTAGGTTTTCTTCTATCAACTCACTGTGTGGCCTTAGGCAAGTCACTGTACCTCCTTGAGCCTTAAGTGAGGGGAGAACTAATAAATGTCCATGCTTCCTTGCATTTTAATGAATTCTCCATGAATGCCTCTGACTTACATCATCACTTGTGACACATTGCTGTGACAGCTGATTCAGGTGTACCCACAAGGCATTCCGAAAGAAGTTTATTCGTTCACATTCTTGAACTTCAAATACCTACAGAAACATAACTACATGTACATACATATGCAGAGAAAGTTACCGTGTGCCTAGACTGGTTATGACTAAAAAAAACAGTGTCAACCCTCAACTATCTGTAAGCTTATTGCCCCAAGTAGGGTACTCCCCCACCACCAAGGAAGCTCACAGACTTACTACAGGCAAAGAATGCAAATGGATTCTAAGATGGTATTCACACAAACAGGATTGGATATACTCCGGAAGGTAAGAGGTAATGATGAACCCAGACACCAAGATTCTAACCTGGATTCCAGCTCATATTTCCAACTGCCTAAGGGGCATCTCTACCTGGGCAGCTTGACAGAGCCTCAGATGAAAAACTCTGCCCACCAGCCACCCCCACGCCCTCTCCCACTACCACCACCACCACGTGCCACATCCCCCACCCAACTCCTCATGCCATGAATGAATTCAAGTGGCAAAATGATCACAATTGTTGAAGCTAGTTGATGAGTACATGGGGGCCTTGCACTTATCTTCTATCTTTGTACATATTTGAAATTTTCCTTAATGAAAAACTTGTTTTTAAAAAGTCACTTTCTGATATAGACAAAAATCAACCTTTGGAAAATCAAGCTGTTCTATAAATCAGATGTTATTCTATTCAACAATGGATGTTATATTAATGTGCTTTTTCAGTATTAAATACAACACTTAGTATTACATCAAAATTTTTTTATAATATAAAATTTCAAACATATACAAGAGTAGACAGAATAGTATGATGAATCCCCATGTATCCACCACCAGCTTACACGATTTATCAACTCACGACAGATTCCGCTTTACCTATGTCCCTACCAGCTCACCTATTTCCTGGAGGATTTTAAAGAAATACATTGTATTTATTATGGAATATTTCACATAGACTCATAGAGAGTAATATAACGAATAACCATGTTAACAATCACCTAGCTTTGTCAAAAATTTTGGCCATATTTACTTCAGATTCTGTTTAAACCCATGTGTGCTCTCACCAATATCACCCTCCTGCTTCCCTGGAGATAACCATTATCCTGTTTATCATTCCCATGCCAGTTATTATAATACTTACATAACAATACAATGTATGTGATATTGCTTTGCATGTTTTTAAACCTTATAAAAAGGGCATTATTCCAGGCTTTTCCACAAGTGTCGAGTTAAGGAAGTAAAGCAGGAAAGTCTTAGGAGGGGGATAGTGACCCATAGTATCAGATAGTAGAGACAGGACAACAACCTGATAGTAGAGACAGGCCCACTGGACCTCACGCCAAGGGGGTCACTGGTTCCCCTCAGAGGAGCAAAGCCCAGATACAGCCGACTGGGACAGGCAGGGGCAGGCAATGTGGACATGGAGACAACTCCATCAAGAAGAGAGGAGAGGGTAGCAGCTGGGAAGCAAGTACTGGTAGGCTTTAAAGCCCGAAATGAGCTGTGTTTGTGTAAATGATAGAAGTTCACGTTGAAGGGAGCTGTGACAAGGTGGTGTGGGGATGCCGGCCAGACGGGCTTGTGCTGCAGAGGTGGGATGAGACCCTGATAGGGCAGGAGCAGCCCCATGCAAATATAACAGGAGAAAAGGAGAAGAGAGGTGTGTGTAGATCAGCCGTCCTCTGGCTTGAATTTGCATCAGAACCATCTGGAAGCCTTATTAACACGGGGGTCCCTGAGCCCACTTTCAGAGTTGATGATAGAGTAGGTCTGGAGTTGGTCTGAAATTCTGCATCTCTAACAAGTTCCCAGCTGATGCTCATGCTACGGTCCTTTGAGATCCACTGGTGAGAAATCGTGTAGACACGGTGAAAGAAACTCGAGAAAGTTTCCAGGTTATGTCTTTATCTTCTCTGGGCAATTGTAAGTGAGGTCATGTGCAGAAAATGAAAGGAGGCAATAGTGCCGTCAGAGGCATAGGAGGGTAAAGCATTCTAAAGCCTGCTCACCTGCTACCTGCCCTTTCCTAATCACACAGCAAGTTCAGGTGAGGCTCTCCCGAGGGGCTACTCAGCCACTAACTCAGCCGTTTATGATGGCCCTAACCAAACATTAGGGGGAGGCCTTGCATAGAGTTGGATAACATGCTCAGGATGGGCAGGAGGCAGAACAAGGAAGTTGGGGGAAAAACATTTCAGTTCCTTTCATCCTCCACTTAAATTCCTGATTTCCAATTTGCCCTCAGGTAATTCCATGAGAATTGGGGGCCTACAATAAGAGGGTGGGTCGTTTCTACAAAAGTAAATTCTCCAAGTTCTAGGAGGAAGACCTGCCCTCTCCCAAGTGGCTTCCCATTCCAGTTTGGGTTCCAGGTACCTCACAGGCCTTGATGTGCTCATTCTGCCACTCTTCGCGGACCTTATCCAGGGTACTGATGTGCAGCATGTACACCTTGTCTGCAATGGAGTGGGGGGTCCTGAGGTCAGAAACCAGAGAGGGGGGTTCCAGCCCCACCCCTCAGCTCATCCCAGATGGCAAATGAAACTCTTCATCATGAATTTTCAGGGCCCCATAGAGCTCTAGATATTGGAAGGCCATAATTACATCTCTCTCATAATATCTTGGTGAAATGAGAAAAGGTGGAATCACTTTGTTTTTAAATGATAAAACAAGCAATTAGCAAGATATGCTCCAAGGAATTGAAAAAGAAAACTCACGGGAACCTCAGCCAGGGTTCTCTTTCTCAACTGGGCCTCTAGCTTCCACCCCTTTCCATTTTCAGGAAAGCTATCCAATGAGGGACACAGAGAGGAGAACTACCAAGTTACTCTAGTTTTGCATTTACAGACTTCTTAAGCCATGAGAGGCTTGTCTTCTGCAGGATACTCGGAATTGGCAGCCTTTGCAAACATGTGGTTTGGAACTTAGATTTTCTTGATGACAAGCCCTGGCAACTTTGCTGTTTCTTTCATAGAGAGTTATCAGGGCTGAGATGGGCTCTTAAGAGAGATGTTCCCAATCCATCAGAGCGAGGACCTGATTACAAAGCAGCTTCCACATGACCCCCTCTCCCACCACGACTACCATTCAATTACAAGTGAGGCAGGAAAACCCAGGCAGGTGGTGGCCAGAAACTGCTGCCTCACTTGCTTCCTCCCACTTCCCATGTCCTGATATACCCTCTCTCATCCCTCTTCTCCTTTCCTCCCTTCCTCACCCTTCCTCCTTCTGTTTCTCTTTTTTTCTCTCCTGATGTCTTGTTAATCCTACTGTGCATCCATATTTGTTGTAAGGTGTTTACAACCACCTGCCTCAGATTTAGCATGACGTAACTAAGCATGATCCTCCCCCGTCCCTTGGAGCAGCCCCCTCACCTGAGTCCTCTACTGCGGTCTTTGAAGTTGCCAGTTTCACAAAAAGCTGTGAAGACAGAAAAGAACAAGAGATGAGAGATGCCAGGCAGGCCTCTAAAGGCAAAATAGACTGAAAAGCAATGGCTGTGAATATAGGTTGGTCACAAGAATGGTGGTACAGCACGGAGAATAGTCAATGACCCTGTAACATCTTACTATGTAGACAGATAGTGACCACACTAGAGAGGGTGAGGATTTAATAATATGGGTAACTGTTGAACCACTGTGTTGTATATTTGAAACCAACGTAAGATTGTGTATCAATGATACTTTAATAATTAAAAAATAACAATGACTGTGAAGAGACAAGTGCTAGTCAAGTCTTAACTGTGTTTCTCTCACAAGCAAATCATTCAACTTGTCCTCTGATCTTATAGCACATGGACTTTTCTAGAATTTCCTCAATCCCCAAAATGTGACAAGGGTCTTTCTAGTTCAGAGGATTCTAATAGCCCAAAGGACGATATTTCCAGGGGCTTTGGGTGCTTGTTTATTTTTAAGATCATTAATTGCCTTTAACTTCATATATCTAAATCTCAGATTATTCAGGCTGTCAGCTCTCGCAGGTACCTTTTCTTGTTGCTTTGGGTTTACCAGGTTGGCACTCCGGTGGACGGCCTGCTCTGCTTCATCTTTGTCTCGGCATTTCTGTTCATAGTTCTTCTTTGCCTTGATTGTTAGGAGCCAAAAGAGGACCAAAACAGGTGAGCAGAACGTAACCCTGGAAAGTAGCCACCCTAGCTTGCCAAACCCAGGATTTGGCCACTCTGATTAGGGCTGTGATCACCCCTAGACCAGAACTCTCTGAGGCTGATGCTCTTTTGTATATATTTTTGGAAGGTCTCTCTAGCCCTTTTCTAAGTGCTGTTTGTAGTGGCAGCCTGATCAAGGAGGCAATACTCCGATTAGGCAAACACAAAGCACATGAGCTTTGGAAACTGATTGGAGCAAACGATGGAATTTGAAAGGCAAAATCAAAAACGTTTATGACTATAAGATGTATAATCCAACATGTATATAACATTCATAACCCTCAGAACTTAGATGCCACCACTTGGCCATGGTAATTATAATTATGCTTCAATATTCTAATGTGACTCACCATAGCAGGTGGATAGTGAGGAGGACATCAATCCCATCACTTCTGTCACTTATGAATGGTCCTGTTCTTTTTTTATTTAAAGAATTCTGCTTAAGCTAGTTTGAAAGTAGGCTGTGGTCTATCCTGTGCTACTATTACCTCCAGGAGTGGAAACAGTTCTCAAACTAGAGTGAGTGGACCAAATAAGTTTGTTTCAACTACTGAGGCAAAGACAACTTGCTCAAACCAGGCAAAACTGTGAGTCATTTAGCTAATAAATAAAAATGGCGAACTCCCCCCACAAAAGCTTAAAAATGAAGACTCTTCTGCAGAGTTGGTTTGTGCTCATTGAATATTTCATGTGCTTCCCTGCATTTCTTAGCATCCTCTGCCACTCAGTTGGAGCTAACCTTTTAGTAGACAACCACACAATTCCACCTGTGGTACATACACATAGAAGTAAAAGTTCATAATTTTTCATAATTACAAGCCCATAAGATAGTTATGTAACAGTACTTTTCTTTGCAACAATATGTGATAGACATGTTTCTGTATCATGCATGATCCCTGTAGCTAAACACTTTTAATGGTTGCAAACACACACACATGTACAAGCCATAGTTTTCTTAACCAACTTTCTATTGGTAGAAATTATCTTATTTCCCATTTTTTTTAACATAAAAATACTATTTTAGTTTGGGTAGTGTGAATTTATCTATATAGATTAAATTCCTACAAGGGTAGTTGTTTGGTAAAAGACTGTATACACATCCAATCTCCTTCCAATTTACACTCCCACCATATATGAGAATACATTTCCTCACACTCTCACCAACATCAAGCTTAGACAATATTTTTAACCTTTTCTAATACCAGAGGTGAGAATGCTAGAAAAAAAATACAAAGAAAACTATCCTTACTACTAAGGTGGTATATCCTTTCTATTTCATGTCTTTTACCAGCTTTTCTATTAGAGCATTCTTTGTTTTAATTGGTTTTGAAGAGCTCAGTCTATATTAGGAACACTAACAGGCTATAAGGTATGTAAGTGACAGATATTTTTCCCATTTATCGTATCTTCTGAAGCCACATGTAAGACATTTTTTTCCTGTTGCTCTGAAGAAGTCTTAAATTTTAATGTCAGTTATCAGTTTTCCTCTATCCTGCCTTTTTAATATGACATATTAAACATTTTTTCTCTGTTGCTACACAGTCTCCACAATCACATTTTTAAGGTTACATTATTTACTCTTTCTCCATTTTTTGGTCACTTACAATTTTCAGTATTATAAGTATGAACAAGTTCCTGCCTTTGCTTTCCTTATTTGGGACGATTTCCTAAAAAGAGAGTCTTAGATTCTTAGCATAAGCTTGATGAGGTATGATCATATTTTGCATAATTGCAAAATGCTTCTTTAAAAGGTCATATAGGCTTCTGGAAGATGGAACAGATTTACTTTTCCATTCTCCTCCACATAGGTACAATTAAAAATGCTGGATATTCTATAGAAAACAAACATAAGACTCTGAAAGGTGGAGAGAAGGCAGACCCGCCAGTGACCTTGGTTTCAGCAGAGCAACTTAGAAGTGAGTTCCCTAGGATTTCTTCTTGTCTCATATATCACAGAAGGAGTGCCAGAGAAGGAGGCAGCCACAAATGACAATAGGTACAGATGTAATCCCAACAAAAGCCTACTCCCTTCAGCCAAGAAACCAGAAAAGGGATAGCCTAGCAGGACAGAAACTTCTGTAAAAAAACTAGCACATAGTTAAAAAACAAATACCACATAGAAAACTGTGCCCTGCTCCACACACACGTGCACCCAGCAAAGGCCAAGGAGAGCTGAGACTTCCACCTTCACCACTGTAACCAGGTGCCCAACTGCCCTGCCAACATGGCATCAGCAGGTGATCAGATGCCATCAAACTGGGGAACTGGAACTCTCATTCCCACTGGGAGGTAACTAAGCCCCACACACGGTGCCAGTGGGAACCACATGGGGACCCTGGACTCCCATCGCTCCACCTGGCAGTATTATGGTGCAGCCCCTCTTGGGGTGATGTCAGAGAAGTTCTGTGGAGAATCAGGACTCGAGCCACCTCCCAGTAGTAACAAGGCCACACCAGCCCTGTGGTATCAGCAGATGCCAAGGGAGGAACCTGGACTTTTTACTCCCACATAGCAGTAATGAGGTGGTACCTCACTTTCCCCTGCTAGAGGGCTGTCAGAGTAAGCCAGCCAAAACAGAAGGTTTAAGTAAGATCCACGACCTTGTAACATACCTGAAATGTTCTTAATCAATTGAGTATCACTCATGATACCAAGAACCAGTAAATTCTGACTCTGAATGAGAAAAGACCATCAATAGATGCCAATATTAAGAAGACAGAGATGTTAGAATTATCTCAGGAATATTTTTAAGCAGCTACTGTGTATATATTCAACAAGAAATTACAAATATACTTGAAGCAAATGAAAATAGTCTTAGCATAGAAATGAAAGCTCAGCAAAGAAACAGAAGGTACAGAGAACCAAATGGAAATTTTAGAACTGAAATAAAAAACTGAATGCATGGGCTGAAGAAGAGAATGGAAGGCACAGAAGAAAGAATGGGTAGACAGGAAGTTAGTATAGAAATTACATTATCTGAACAACAGAAAGAGAATAGGCTGAAAAAAATGAACAGAGACTCCTGGACATTTGGCATCATAACAAAAGATCTAACACTCATGTCCTTGGAATCCTAGGAGAGAAGGGTGGGCTGAATATTCCAAATTTGGCAAAAGATAAACGCCTACAGAGTTAAGATATTATCAAACCCCAAAGAAATCTATGACAAGATATATATGTGAACTTCTGAAAAAATAAAATACCTTAAAACAGAAATGACATCTTATCTATAAGGGAAAATCGACTTGCATTACTGCAGCTTTCTTATCAGAAACTATGGAGGCCACAATGAAGTGACACAGCATTGCTCAACTACTGAGAGAAATGAACTCTCCACACATAATCCTACTTCAAGAGAAAATATCCTTTAAGTATGAAGGGGAAACCAAGACATTCTCAGATGAAGGAAAACTCAGTATTTGCTGCTAGCAGGTCTATCCTGAAGAACGGCTAAAAGAAGTTCTCTGAGCAAAATGAAACCAGAAATGAGAAGCCTTGGAACATCAGAAGGAAAAAAGTAGACAGTAAGCAAAAATGAGTAAATACGATAGGCTTCCTTTTTCCTCTTGATTTTTTTCTAAATTATTTTTGACATTTGAAGCCAAATTATCAAACCAATATGGCTCTAAATGTTGGTAGAGGAAACAGTTAAGAAAATTAAGTTTCAATAAAGCTTTAACTTTAATTGTGAGAAAGTTTGCCCCAGATTGCTCAAAATATAAATGGTCTGGGAACAATCAATGTATCAACAAACACTATTTATGCATTATACTGATATTATTCCCTATTTATCAATTGCTTTTGAGGTGATCTGCATCAAAGAAAAAAATGATGCAGAGCAGACTGCATGCCATCACCATTGGTGACATTTTCTTTTTTAACTGGGTTACCAGATACCATGTCATAGTCAGCATATCATGTTGATACTCTGTTTAAAGATGGAATTGTGGGTGTTTCAGTAACAGAGTCCATTGTATCCAGAGTTAACAGATTCATGAAAAGCTAGACTGAAGTCCCTAGCAATTTGTCTTAATTGTGTCTTCTTAAGCATTTTTTAAAATCAATTACTTAAGGCTTTTACAATTTGCAGATATCTTAAAACAGTAAGGGGTCACTTGATAAAATAGGTAAGAAATTGAGATTCAAAACAGTCACAGGGCAAGAGCTCAAATTCAACAAGATAAATAGCATCATTCAGTATAGACTATTGTGTCTCAGTCTGAAATACTTAAATGGATTTGTTATCCTATCCCATATTACCAGAAAGATACCATCATTCCATTTCCTCTATTTGGTTTCATCTTCAGTCTTTCCAAGGCCTTAAAAAGAAGGAAAAGTCCACCCACTAAAGGTTGTTTTCTCTAAACTACTGCACTAATAAATAATAACACTATTGAAATGTTATTTTTAGGAATATGATCATACACAGAACAGGACTTCAGAAAATGTCATCATTACCAAAAAACAAAACAAAGCAAGAAAGTTAGACTCACATCCATGGTTTTCTTGAATTGTAAGCTCTTTTGCTTATGGGCAGCATCCATTATAAGCTCTGTCTGTGAAGAGAGCACAAGTACTATTAATGAAAACAAATTATAGTGAATAGCAGTTTATCTTGAAGGTTAAGTGTTCAATGGAGATTTAGTCCTCACACATTCCAGAAGGTAGATGTGCTCTTTATTGCTCCCATAATACACAAACGAGGGAACTGCAGCCCAGAGAGCCTGAACAATTTGCCAAAGACCAAGCAGTAAGTTACTGGAGCAGCTGCTGAGTGGTCTCTCTGTCTCCCCACATCCAGACTGTATTCAGAAAACTGGAAAGCCAGTGTCTCCTTTCTTCGGAGATTGCTCTCTAGAAGCAGAACAACACTCTGCCATGATCACCCCATCCTAATAGAGAGGGTAAACAACGTGGGCATCGGAGGAGACAGTGACTGACCAGATGCTGTCTGTCTGGCTTAAAACATTCTGGGCTTCGGGAGGGAGGGACCTCAAACTCTAAAACAGCAGGAATCCTGAAAGTGGCTCCCCAGACCCCTCCCTGCTGTGCCAAGCCCCAGGGTGAGAACCTTGTCCTTGACTCTCTCCACCAGCATCCATACTGCCCTTCTCTCTGCTGCTTTTAGTTGCAAGTCCACTTCATCCAGGAGGCTTCTGAATCTCAGAGATTAGGTTAGGTGTCCCCACTATATGTTCAGGTTCAACACACTTTATCATGAGTACTGTGTCCCATCAGTCTCTCTGGCCATGCTCTACACTCAGTGAGGGATGGATAATCTTGTCTGCATTGTTCTCCATTCTCAAAAGATGTAAGTTGTATAAGTGAGTATGCACTAACTTCTGACCAGCCATTCTACCTGCACCTCCTCTTCTCAGTTTACTAAAAGAAACCAATAATGGCTTTCCTTCACAAGTGGAAATGGCTTAATTTCCAAGAAGTGAAAGACCAAGCATGCAGGGTTTAACCATGGAAAATGAGAAGTTAAAATTGACACATTTTTCTCCCAAGGTTTGATTTTTTTTTTTAAGTATCTAAAACCGGAAGTGGTACAACCCAGAGTTCACTGTGACACAAGTAATTACACAGTTATTAATAAGCTTTGGACTTGTCAAAGAAAAGTCAGGAAGTGTTTTCCTGCTGTAGAGGGCACATAAAACCCAGGAAACTTGGGTGACAGTGGTGGATGAAGCATAGGCTGCTCTATTGCTTAACAAAATTCAAAACATCTTCTAGCTACGAGAATTTGGTCTTTGTAATTTGTTGGAGGGGAAGTGTCGGAAGGCTTGCAAAATTAACAAAGCTCTCCCTGAAATGACTAGGACTACCAAGGGCACTTGAAAATGTGAGGAAATGACCTTCCTCTCCTCTTAGTGGAAATCATGTGTGCACAGACTCTAGGTGTCCAAGGCATTTTGCTTTTGAAAAATTGTAATTCATCTACAGAGGTGGGCAGAGCTGGCAATGTCAGCCAAAAAAGTTTGACTACCCAGTGAATGGGTGTAATAGACATATTATTTCTGCTCTGAAAAATGGCCCAGAAGCACCCCTCAAAACTGATATATGAAGCGTGAGTGTGTGTGAAAGTACTTGATAATGGTGTCCCTAATGTTCGTTCCACCCTTCCTTCCTAGTAAGAGGCACAACTCTAAGAGCAGCTCATGAAATGACAAGAGATGCAGAGCAGGCAGGTTCTTAAGATGCCATCACCGCTCCAAATGCCAAATGACCACCAAGGAAGCTGGAATTAGCCTCTGATTTAGGACCACAGGTAAAGTTGTTGAGATTGAGGTACAGGTACAATCAGTCTTAATGGCTGTTTATTAGATACATACACTGAAGAAAATGACCCTGGGTCGGTAAAGGGCCAGAATGAGAAAAGGCTTCCAAAAAGTCCAGGCAGAGCTGTCCGGGAAGACCTGGCTGCCACTCTTTGGATGCCAGACAGGGAAGAGCTTGTGCCCCACATGAAGCTGAGGTCCCAACCTTGGAGACCAGATATTTAAAAATTTTGGAAGGGCCTTACTTGGCTGCCAGGCAACATGAATATACGAGGAATAAAATATAAGGGAGTCAGAACAGTATCTGGTCTTTGAGGAATAAAATAGAAGGGAGTTAGAACAGTATCTGATCTACTATAAGGAACTAGTCTAAGAACACTTTAATATAAATCCGACTTATTTTCTTGATCCTTATAATTCCCCAAATGTTTGCCAGTTTTAAAACCTCTTGCTCACTTCATCTCCTCCCCTGAGACTGAGTCCCATCAGTGAAAAACATCCTACGTCCATCTGCTTTGAAGACAAAATGCGCTTGCACTTCCCAGGGCCTCAGTCTTCCTATTTGTAAAATAGGGTGGTTAAAGTACATTATGGTCCCCAGAAAGAAGGTGAATCTCCTCCACACCCTCCCCTCCCCTTACTGCTTTGTCCAGGAGGAGGATTGTGATCTGGGAGTCCTCCAGGTTAGATGTACTAGACTCTACTGAAGACAGAGGGGTTTCCCTTTCCAGTCACAGTCTGAATAGCAGGAGGAGACATCGAAAGAAGAGGAAAGCAGGCTAGACATCTAAATCCTGCAAGAATTAAAACAGAACTGGCCTGGGGATCAAAGGGGTACAGAGGCATAACCATCTAGATTGAATCCCCACATGGTTCCCTAGTAAATAATCTCATAAGTTAAAAAAGCATGGCTGTGTGAAGTCAGGAGAGAGCCAAGGAGTTTAATGAACAAGCCTGGAGTTTTCTGCCAGAGGAAAAGCAACATTTTAATACATATACAAAACCAACCTTTTTCCGTTGTAGCTTTTGCTTCTCTCTGAATTCTTCCATCTTCCTGGCCTCTTCTCTTAGAGTCTGTGCAAGCTGAATATGACCTTGTGCCACATTGTCTACCTCTGCAAAAATAATTTTTCAAAAAAATAAACAAGATCTATATGTCAGAATTCAAATATACAAAATCACACAAAATCTTAAAATACAAAATACTGGAGCAAGTAGTAAAATTAACCTACTTCACTTGGTCACCAACATTTATTGAGTCCCTTTGCGTACCCAGCATTACTCTGGCCACCAAGACTATAGCTAGCAAATCTTTAGCTTAGCTTCCTATCACTAACTCTTCCTAACCTAGTGTATGCCCAGAAGTGGGGAGAAAAACTCAGCCAAGATCTCAGCTCATGGAATTTACACGTTAGAAGATGTTATTAAACCCAGTACAATTTCAGTTCGATCCTTATTTCTCATTAGATGACTCTAAGTTTCTTTCCATCCCTTAACATCTCATGAGCCTCAGCATTTGTAAAAAAAGTCATACACCAAAATTCTAGCTATCAATAGCTACCTCTGGATTGAAAGATTATTTGGTGATTTTTCCCCTTATTTTTTAAGATCTTTACAATGAGCATGGCTTACTTTTATAATGGAAAAATTGAATTTTTATTTTACATGTTCTAAGTACAAATTGCAGCATGGCATTAAAGCTAGAAAGACTGACAGATATGCCCTAAGAAAAAATTGTAAACTTGTGTGTGTCAGAATAACCTTGAACAAGGTTAGAAGATACATGACAAACTAGAAAAATATTTACAATTTATTTAACAGAGTAAACAGCTATAGCAAATGAGCTTTCACAAATCAAAAGAAAAAATGTATATTCTAGGATTAAAAAACTGGTTAACATGAGATCTAAAAAAAAGATTGACTAAATGGCCAATAAACATTTGAAAATGTATTTGCCTTAAAACTATGGGAAAAAGTGCAAAACTTTAAAAATCCAGAAATATATAACTTATACTTCTCAATTCAGGAAAATTTTAAGAGTGTGAAAATTCTTGGTGTTGGTGAGAGTGAAAAAAACTGCACTGTTGGGCAAAAATCAGCACAACCTTTCTGAAGGAAATTGGGCATTATATAGAATATAAAAAATGCAAAAAGCAAGGCAGATCTATCTGAACTGAAATGGAAAGATGTCTAGATATATTAAGTAAAACAAATTGTAGAGAGATATGCATAGTATTTTCTCATTTCCATAAAAACTTGTGTGTGTGTGTATGTGTGTGTGTGTGCATGTCTACAACTGAAGAGAGAGAAAAAGAATTGTAAATGCATAGAAAAAGGTCTGGAAAGATATATACCAAACTGCTAGAATGACTAGAAGTTGATTATTTTCATTTAAAAACAATTTAAAAACATATCACCTGGCCCTATCCTATAGATTCTGAGCCACTGCCATGGTATAATCCTATTTATTTACAAGAAAAGATACATATAATATTATATTATATATGTATGTATAATTGCATTAAAATGTCTAGAGGTATATCCACTCTTGCTCATCACGAAGAAATGAAAATTCAGGTATTTGCTATCTTCTTTATATTCTGATGTCTCATTTGAACTTTTAAGATAAATATACATTATTTTAATAAGAAGCAAGTTAAATTATTTTGGGGGGAAAAAGAAACAGTAAAGTAACAGCAAGTATGTATGCCCAAGAGACTCAGCCTGAGCTGAAGTTCCTTTGGGCCTCTCCATGGTCACCTTGTGGTTCATACAAGAAACATGAAAAGATCCTGTCCCTACATTGAGAAATATATTCATTGATGAGTTAAAGAGGGAAGAGGACACCTTCTACAGAAAAGTTAAGATGACTATATATTTAGCTAACATTTACAAAGGTCTAGAAACACTCAACTAACCACTGAAACACTTCAAGCACATATCATACATACTACGCTGTGTTAAAATCCTTAGCTGGGAAGCACCAAGCATTCTGAAGAACAGAAAGCCAAATAACAGATCTGAGGACTATCAGAACTACACAGGACCCTGTGAAGACCAGATTGCCAGGGCCTTGGACTGGATTTCCGGTGGGAGAACCACTGCTCTCAGTCAAATGCACATCATGATGTGAGGGCTTCTCCTCTGCACACCTTCTCCAACTCTGCAGAGCTCTCTCTCACCTTGGGAGCTGCTCTGATTTTTTTTTGAACCCAGTGAAATTGCCCTTCAAATTAAAACCCACCTTTGAGGACAGACACAGAGCCTGCTGAGGGCAGCAAATACCTTTTTAAAGAATAACTTACGCTGCTTGAAGACCTCAAGGGCCCGCTTCAGGGTGCTGAAAAACAAGAACACATAGAATTTCAGTTATGGGAATTGACTGCACAATCTTCTTATAATGCCACTGCGTGCTTCTCTCTGCCACGTCTTAATTTACAGCCTATAGACACATCTGCCCAAGAGCATGAGAAGACAGAACACCAAGACTTTTTTGGGCCAGTTTCCTCTTTCTTACGCTCTCAGCCCAGGCACAAACATCATAAATTCTTCACTGTCCACCTGGGTAAAGCAAGATGCCAAAATTCTTTAGGTTTCATTTCACCCAAAAACAAATATAGGATTATGGTCTTTCTCCTAAGAATACCAGTTATTCCAGCAACTGCAATAGGGGGCGTGAGGACTTGATAATATGGGTGAATGTTGAAAACACAATGTTGTTCATGTGAAACCTAGATAAGATTGTACATCAATGATACTTTGATAAAAAAAAAAAAGAATGCCAGTCATTCTTTAAAGCATGGTAACTAGAAACATGGATACAATAAAGGGAGAGTTCAGACTCTAGCTTCTGATCACCTCCTTCTTCATCCATTCATCAATCGTCATGTATGTATTAAGCATAAACCAGATGTTGGTGAGTCAATGTTACAAGACAGGCAGTGCTCCAGACCTCAGAGTCCAATGGAGGAGACAGATGTTAAACACACTGTATTAGTGTTCTTTTGCTGAATAACAAACTACCACAAATTAAGCAGCTTAAAACAATGTACATGTATTACCTTGCAGTCTCAGTGAAGACCAAGACTCATTTTTCACACCTTCTATCAATCTCCCCTTCCTCTCTCTTAGAGCCCGTGGCTCCTCCTCCCTTTAGCTCCTCCTTGCCCATGGTTTTAATTCTCCCTAACTATACTTCCTCAAGTAAACCTCCTGAGGTAACTTGGCCCTGGTTTCTGCTTCCTTCACAGAAGCAGATCTCACTGGACTCACTCCAGCCATTCAAGCAGGAATGGGACTTTGTGAATTCATGGTCCCCTAGCCACAAGAGCATAGGATCATGAATAGTTATATAAATGTGTGTGTGTGTGTGTGTGTGTGTGTGTATGTGTGTGTGTGTGCACGTACGTGGCATATTCTGCTATTTTGCAAAGGAAAAACCCTTGTATTTTCCAGCTGGCACTTATTTTAGCCAACTTACTTTTCCCACTCTATTTATTCCAAACAAATGATTCTTATTTCTCTCTGCCTTTTCGCACACAAACATTTCCAATTATTATAAACACACCAAGAAGAAAAACATAACTACACATTTTTCATAACTGCACTTTACCCATCTTATGATAAGGGATGCAATACACTAGAAAGTTTCCACAGCCAAACCAATGTACTAATGGTCCAGAGGATGAATGAGAATCACTGAAAAGCAGACTTACTACTGGAATTAGTAAGAAAGTAAGGACATGGCAGGAGATAAAACAGGATGTCTTTCCCTAAGAAGAGTCATGGAGTTAAAATCCAGCTTTACAGATAAACAGTCAGTTCAGGGTCTAAAATTTTTCTCCCTAAAGTGACTGACTGAAGGGCCACTGAAAGGGCCAATCTGCTTTCAGTTTGTCATTGGCTTTGTTGTCTCATGTCATCGCTTAATTGCTCTTTCCCGCGTTCAGGACATGATGACAAGCCAGGGAGGGAATCTGTACCTTGGGGATGGTGGCCTAGCAATGTCCATCTCCTCTTCTCCCTGGTGTCTCCTTTTCTGTGGGAAAATAGACTATTCTACCACCCTTTTAATAAGCGCTTGGGCCTTAAACTCTAACATGCCCATCAGAGAGGCCAGAGTCTCTCAGTGTGGCTGGCGAGGAGAAAAATCCTACCTAGTTCCCCGGATAAGCAGCCTGGCAGTCTCATCTAGGCCACCTTCCTAAAGATCCTCCTGGAGGGAACAGAAACAGAAGCCATGTAGATGGCCTTTTACTTCAACCTTAGGAACACTGTCCCCAGGCCTCATATCCTGTTGCATGTTCTTCTCTGAGGTGTATTCTCAGAAGGAAAACCAACTGGCTCTTATCATGGGACAGAAGAGAATGGTGGTAGGGTCTCTCTGTGAATTTACTAAGTTACACATCAAACGTGTAAGAATATAACAAGACATTTTGATCAGATTCATTCTGCTGTATATCTTTTCCAAGAAATACTATATGAGAGAATATGGCTATTTTCCATCCCAACACTGCCAAAGGTTTGGATACCTTCCCAAATGGTTTATGCTTTCTTTATAAATAAACAAGTTTTCTGATCAACTGATCCACTAATTTTCCTTGGAATTATCTAAACCCTGTTGAATGACACTGAAATTTAATTAAGTCTATGCAGTTTTGACCTGTGAAGGTGTAAATGTTTACATATTCTAAAAATAAAATTAAAACAAGGAAAGGAAAATAATCCTTAAAACTTAAAACAAACTGAAAGAAACTTGAAAGAAACATGAAATTGATTACATAATCACATAGACAATTTGAATATTTTAAGTGACCTTAGAACACAGTATTCTTCGTGAGATATATTCTAAGATCCAAAAGAACTGCAAAAAAATATTAAACTTCATTCAGAAGTTTTATTGTTAGTAGCAATAGTGAATAGTATTATTTTGAAACATCTTAATATATATTATCATATAAAGCAAATCTAATATTACGAAGAACCAAGATTTTCAGTGCAAGAGGAAATCAATATGAAATTAAGGAAATCCATTAAAACCCTGTAAAGTTAAACTAGAATTGGAAATCCCAATATGAACCCATGCTTTTAAGACCTGGACCCTGAAAGGGCTTTGAAACAGTGAGAACTCTGACAAAACCCCAGTGCTAGAGCTCAGAATTTCACCTCTGATTATGATTAGTCACTAAAAAGGAACCAGTATACTGGAGAAATAGCTGATTCCAGGCTTAAATTTTAAGTGTTTAAATTTAAACATTTTCACACAAAAAATTATGAGAAAAATATGGCAGATCTGAATTATCAAATTCAGATGACAGATTATCAAATCTAGATGACAGATTGATAGCCATGTCTTAAGTTTATCTTTTTATTCTTCAGGTGTGTTCTTAAAATTTTCATTTACAACATCAAAAATAAAATATAATATAATCAATAAGCAAGTTCTCCTTGTACTAACGTTCTACATCTGGGGGTAACACATTTTTGAGACTTTAGCAAGTATTAATATATTAAATATCTCCCAATGTTTCTTCCTTTTCAACAATGCAGTACTTTTCTTTGCAGTTGGGATGAAGTGTGTGTGTGTGTGTGTGTGTGTGTGTGTGTGTGTGTGTGTGTGTGTGAAGCAGGAGAAGAGGAAGAGTAATGTCTTATCTGCCTCCATTTGGACCTCTGAAGAGACACAGACCACAGGGTGTCTACACAGCTATTTATAGAGTAGCCAGTGCTTATTATTATAACACAGTATGCAGATCAGCATGTAATATGATTAGGTCTGCAGAGGCCTGCAAAGTCTGCTTGAACTATTTCTCTCAAGTGTCCCTCAACAGGCCTATTTTGGGAAAGGAATCTAGAAATTTCTGTATGGGTAGGACTGGCTGTGTAATTTCTGAGGCCCACTGCAAAATGAAAATGTGGGACCCCTAGTTTATAAATTATTAGGAATTTCAACCTGCCTACACTGTTGGTGGGAATATGAATTGGTGCAGCCACTATGGAAAGCAGTATGTAAGTTCCTCAAAAAACTAAAAATAAAAATATCATATGACCCAGTAATTCCACTTCTAGGAATTTAGCCAAAGGAAACAAAATCTTTGATTTGAAAAGATATTAGCACCCCTAATGTTATTGCTGCATCATTTGCAATAGGCAAGATATGGAAGCAACCAGTGTCCATCAATAGATGAATGGCTAAAGATGTGGTATATACACACAATGGCATATTACTTAGCCATAAAAAGAAAGAAATCCTGCCATTTTCAACAACATGGATATACCTGGAGGATACTATGCAAAGGGAAATAAGCCAAGTGGAGAAAGACAAATACTATAAGATTTCACTTACTTGTGAAATTTAAAAACAAAATGAACAAAACAGCAGTGCCTGGTGGTTACCTGGGGGAAAGGAGTTGGGGTGGGTGGTTGAAATAGGTGAATGGGATAAAGAGGCTCAGAATCTCAATCATAATATAAAGTAGTCATGAGGATGAAAGTACAGCATAGAGAATACAGTCAATAGTTCTGTAACATCTTTCTATGTTGACAATAACTACACTAGTTGGGGTGAGCATTTAATCATACGTGTAACTGTTGAATCACTATGTTGTGCACTTAAAACCAATTTAATAGTGTGTATCAAGTATACTTCAATAAAAAATAATTTATTTTTAAGAATTAAAAAGAAAAGAATTTCAAAATGGTGGCAGAAAAGAGAAAAAAAAACAATTATGAAACCTTTCTAAGTGTAGGTTACAATATGATTGTCCACGAAGCCAGCCCTAAATATGAAGGAGTATGCTCCGAAAGTAGGCACCATTTCCTGGACGTTTCTGTATCTTCAGAGTATTCAATGAATGATGGAAGAATAAATAATTGTAGTACAGAAATCTCACATCAGTGGTAAGAACTATAAAATGGCACAAAATAGTGTCTCATGGTAATCACAAATTATGTGTATATAGACGTGTGTGTGTGTACAGAAGCCCCTCTATGAAATTTCTAGTATAAAATCATAACATATATTACTGTTAACAACCATTTGATCAATAAATATGAGATGCCCTCTCAAAAAAAAAATCATAACATAATCCCACCTATGAAAAAGTATACAAAGAAAAGGACTTCAAGGAAATTTTAGAAAATATCAGTATTTTCAATGGGTTGTGGCTCCATGGTTCATTTTAGCTTTTTTCTATTCTCCTATATTTTTCACAACTGGAATTAATGGGAAAAAAAAACATTAAAAATTGTTTTCACCCAACACCTTTCACCCCTCTGGCCAGCTCTGTCCACTACAGTAGCAGGGGCCGCTGGCAGAAGGATCAACCTGGAAACTGGAAAGAAACGTGGCACCTACTTGATCTCAGACTGTCCACATGGCTTCTTCCTAGAGAGGCTGAGCAGATCTTTGCCATACTTTTCTTCAATTGATGCCCTAAGAGGAACAGAAGAGGGGAGTTATGAGTCCTTCTGAGGGCTGCTGTTAGTTAAGACACGTGGTACTCCCCTAGTAGGCAACACTGTACCTTTGACAGTAGAAGCTTAGCTCTACCACTGTTCTCTAAAATAAAAAACTCCCTCTATTAACAGGGAAGAACCATAGGAAGACGAGGTGGCCTTCATCTCTACGGTGGTCTTCTCTACCTAGAAGTCCCAGCACAGACATTACAGCAAAACTGAACATGGTCCCGTGACCAGCACAGGCTCGCATATCACAGACTAACTTTTCAAAACTATGATTCAAGGGTGTGTGTGTGTGTGCGTGTTTGTGCATAAATATATATATATCTGAGACCATGCAAATGAATTCTTCATGCCCTACTGATTTTATATAGTGCTTCCCTTTAATACTGCAGTTTGAACAAGAATTCTTTTTTTTCATAGGCCTTTACTCTTGGACTCTATTTTAAAAGTTTTTGCCAGCCCCTGATAATGTAAAGTACACCCCAAACTGACTCCAGTTTGTAGGAAACGATGAATTTTAACTCCCTAGAAATTTATTTCCAACTTTCTAATCTCTGTTCACAATATTTACATAAAAATGTAATGACACTTTACAATGAACATTTAATATTCTTACATGTAAAAAGATGCTATGGCCAATTTCACTTAAAATATATACATATATATGTATATATATAATGTGCATGTATTTTATCCTTTCAGAATTATATCCATTAAGATTTCTCAATAGTCTTTTATGGTTTCCAGGAAAAGAAGTTTCTCGATCACTTTTTTCTAACATTAAGGCACCATGAATCTGAACTCACCATAGGCAGCATTTGATCCCAATAGAAAGTCCTAAAACCTGGTAAATAATGAGTTCCAGCAAGCACGATGATGTGCTCTTTGGAGAAAAGAAGGAGCTTTAATGGAAGTGAAACTATAGCGTCATAGTCATGAAATCAGCAAAACAATCGCATGGTTGCAAGGGTGTTTTCCCAGCAAATGTGAAGCAGTGGAGTTTAGGGACATGTAGCTAATGAAGGAATCAGTAAGGCTTTGCAAAAATCACCCTTGAATAGGTAGACATTTACCTAGATCACCCTTCTACCACCTAACCAAATTTTTCCTCTTAGGAGAACACAGAGATTAGGAGAACACAGAGATGACTGAAATGTAAGACCTGCCCAAGGAGCTCATGGTCTTATGGCGGGAAAGATGTAAACCAACCCTCTTGTACTACCATGTAACAAGGGCCACAGTGAAAATGAACAAGACAGTACAAGAACCAAAGAGATAATATGACTCCTCTAGGCACTTAGCTAGCCACACTTTCTTCACAAAGCCCTCCTTGGAAACTCCACCTCTCTCTTATACCTCCCCTATTCAAATTTCCAAACTAGGAAGACAGTACGTGTGCCATTTTCCCTTCAACAACCCACAGAAAATATTATCAGCTTTGGCCTTGTCCTTTAGGCCTAAAGCAGCCTCAGGACAATCCTCAACCCAGTGCTCCAGGCAGCCCCAGTCAGAATGGGCCTATAAATGAAATCCTTTTACTATAAAACCTGACACTCAGTTTGCTCATTTTTACTGTATACGCCAATCACAGCACCTCAACAACTGTAAATTCCTTGAGAATAGCCACCTTTGTTAGATCAGAGTGTATCTTACAGAATATCTAATACAACACCTTCACCTTACAGAGGAAGAAACTGACACCAAAAAAGGTGTAGGCTCTTGATTAATACCACTTCTGGCTACTGAAGATGTCAGGATTAGAGACCCAGGTACCTGGACTCTTAACCCAGCACTCTGCTTCCCTTGTAGGTCTCAGCCTCCAGCTCATTCCACTGGGTACATGCTATGGGTTGAATTCTGTCCCACCTCCCCCTCACCTAAATATGCTGTAGTCCTAACCCCCAATATCTCAGAACATAACTTCATTTGGAAATTGGGTCATTGCAGATGTAATTAGTTAAGGTTATACTGGTATAAATCCAATACGACCACTGTCCTTTAAGATGATGTGAAGATGCAGGAGAAAAATGCCATGTAATGATGGATGAAGAGTCTGGAGTTATGCAGCTGCAACCAAGGAATGGACCGCTGGCCTCACTAGAAGCTAAGAAAAATACATGGAACAGAGTCTTTCCTGGAGCCTTTGCAAGAGCAGGGTGCTAAACACTTCTTGAGTTTGGACTTCTGGCCTCCAGAACTGTGAAAGAATACATGTCTGCTGTTTTCAGCCATCCAGTTTGTGGCAAATTGTTACAGCAGACCTAGGAAACTCATACAATGCATAATGGCTTGACTGTAACTTGGCCAAAAGGTGCTAAATGTTTAAGGTAATGTGGCATTTCCATCCTGGCAATCTGGTGTTCTTGAGCCCATGTTGACACAGAGTGGGGATCCCAGAATGAGAGCTGTAACCAGGGCAGGTTGTCACCTCCCTAGAAAGAAACAATGGGATATACAGGAGCTTGTGGGAAGAGCACAGGTTCTCAAGGCACTGAGACTAGAGATCTCAGTCCACAGGTGTAATTGCTAACTTACAAATGGTGCAGAACTTCAGGCATCAAGGGGCTCCACAAGCCTGCCTCTGTCCTCTCTCCTTAGGATCTTGTTGCAACACAGAATAAAGAAAGCTAACCTGGCCACCAAGTTCCTGGCAAAACCCCCCTTTCAGAACCCCAAGTTCCTGGCAAAACCCCAGCCTTTTTAGGGACCATTACATAAAGTGGAAAAACCATGAGACATGGGGTTAATAGAAGTCCTGGCTCTACTACTTACTGCTTCTATAATCTTGAGCCAGTCATTCAAGCCCCTACTAAACCTCAATTTTCTCATTTGTAAGATGGAGCTAATGATATATTCCCTACCTATCATCCAAGCTTAACATAACAATATTAGTAATTAATAACATTTACCCACCACTTATTGTATACTGGCTTCTGTACTAGGCATACTGAAATGGTTAGCAACTCAGAGCCCAGGGCCCAATTTTCTTAGGTTGAAACCAGATCCATTCCTTATAAGCTGTCTAACCTTAGGTAAGTTATATAACCTCTCTGAACCAGTTTCTTCAATTATAAAATAAGGATGACAAAACTTACCATAAAAAGTTATTATGAGAATTAAATGCGATAATATATGCAAAATATATAGTAGCTTGTATCCAGTAAGCCTTAAATAAATGGCACCTATTAATATAATCCTAATTAATCACCCCTAGCAACCTTCTGTGGTATGACTATCCTCATTTCTATATTTCTCCTGTCCTGCTCATATCAGGAGCTCAGTATGTAATGTCTGTCCCCATCTGGGATTCTAGGGGTGGGAATGATCATGGGCTTGGGCTACCAGGGATCAGACAGGTTCATTTTAATTGTTAACTAGGGGAAAACCACATACTGGAATGCTATATAGAATATTTCTTTTAAAGAAAAAAAAAGAAGAGGAAAATTTGGCCTGGACTTTGAAGGATGGGGAGAATTCACTTAAGCATCAAGGAGAAAGGAATACATCCCAGATGGGGAAACAATAGAGTAAGATGTAGAGGCAGAAACATCCAGAGCATGCTCACTAATAAACCTGTCTGGCTGCAATAGAGAGTGGGTGTAATGAGTGAGAATGTATGAAACAGAAAGAAAAGGCGGAGAGAATGTCTCTGTGCAGGGAACACATCCTCCCAGAAAGTCACCTGCTCTTCTGCGCAGTGCTGAGGAGTCAAACACAGGGTTTGTGTGAGATGCTGCAGTGGTGTTCTGGATTCTGTCACTTTCTGGGTTCCCATGGTAAATTACAGATCCAACCTTGCTTTAAAAGCTAAACTCACATGCAAAGAAAATGCAAGTAATAATACCTCATGCACTGAGAATATTTTAAATATTTAAAGGAGAATATTTTAAAGGGATGGGTAAACCTCAATGTTACAGTAATGGAGATGCTGAGACAAAGAGCCTGGCACCACACATAGCGAATGCTCAGTACATGGTGTTTATTAGGCTGCTATTCAGATGGTGGTTGTGGCTGTCATCATTTATGCCTTTCCAGCTGATAGAAGGGTAAACTAGGCAAATTTACAATTTATTGAGGGATTGTTGCTGTTTTGTTACTTACTTGCTGTGTTTCAATAGGTCATCTAAGATTTACTGGGGACTGCTTAGCTACAGAGCATAGACTGACCTATGGCCCAGGGATCAGCAGTACAGATGCAAGAAAGGCAGAATTCCTGCTGACTCCAGAACAGCAAATGACACTACAAACCCACATCCCAGTGATTGTTCTGTCCATCCCCAGCTAAGCCTAGATGGATTGACCACAATCCATCTAGGTATAATCAAGGAAAAGGATACTCCTAATTTCCATAATGGAGGTAAAATATGGCACGGATTCCATCTAGGGGAAAGTGTGGTGGGTGAGGGGAGCTCACTCTGGAAGTACAGCATCTCCCCCTTCCCCTTGCTGCCCCCTGGGGCTTTGAGCTGCCAGAAATTCCAGAGATTCATGGTTGGACTTTGACACTTTGGGTGGCAAGGGGTGGTCCTAAAACTACCACATTAGATACAGGGCATGTTTAGCTACGTATCATAAAAACTTCTAAATGTGTGTGTACTCTACTTGATGAACCTAAAATGACAAGCAACTTATGACAAACTACTGTTAATCTTTGCCCCTCTGTATATGTTTTTCCTCTAGTCCATATGAACCCTAACGTGCCAGGGTTCCACATGAAATTCACAGTAGCTCAGTAAAATAATGCTCATGTCCCAAGGAGGATGTTTGTGCATCAGACTATGGCAAAGACTCAGCAGGCTAAGTTCCACATCCCACAAGCACCTGCACCTACCAGAGCAAGAGGAGAGGCTGGACCCCTGAAACCTGAAGAGGACTGCATTTCTTTACATGAACTCCCCTAACAGGAAAACCACATACAGTTGGGGGGTGCACCCTCCCTCAGTGACAGCAGCTTCCTTCTGGCAAGCACACCACTAGGTAAGGAAGCCCAAAGACCAGGCAGACCCTTTGCTCAGGGGCCCCAGGTCCTCATATCCAGGGCATACAAATCTGACACTGTGGCCTGATGCCAGCAGATTCAAAATCTCCCCCAGTATCAGAGAACATTGTGTCTGGTTTCTTTTGCTTTGAAAATCCTAGAGAAAAATGACCATATACTAGAAATATAGTATAAATATTTAATAATTTTTAATGTGCATAGGTTTCTTCCTCTTTCCCATATATTTCTGTGAAACATTTGAAAAGTAAGACCCTAGCTTTTGGGTTCTACTTAGACTTGTATTTTTCAAACTGTGGTACATGACCCATTTGCAAACCATAAATCAAGTCAATGGGTTATGACCAGCAATGTTTAATTAAATAGAATTGAATAAATAACGGTAATAATGTTTTATTAAACTTGTTTTATGCATGTGTGTACTGGGTGGCAGTATCAAATGTATTTATTACTAAGGGTTACATTCCAAAATATATGGACACCACTGATTTACACCACCATCCCCATTGCATCAGGGGACCCTTGGACAGTCATGCCTGGGCAGTAGAAGCTTTGCTGATTAGCCAATACCTTCTCTATGGCTGTATGGAAAAGCTATTTTATTCCCAGGAGAAATCTATAAATTGCCAGTCCTCCATAGTCTCCCTCTCCTGTGAGGTGTTTCAGGGCTGCACATACCACATGACTTAGTATTTTAGTATATTTTGTTTGTGGTTTCATTCATAAATCTTATCTTATAAACTAGTTTCTAAGAACTTTAGGACATAGATATCATTTACTTCTTGGGTATCACTCATAGCCTATAGCAGAGGGTCTTGTGAATGCTTAAAAAGAGACAAAAACCAGTAAACTGTTCCTTGTTTGTGTGGGAGCATCTTACGCGCCCCCTCTGTCTTCAGGAAAGAATAGCATATACCTTTCTTTCAGAAAGTCTTCAAATTCTTTGCAGTTCTTGCGGCCATTGTTCAGATGTTGGATGACGCTGTCGTAGCCAACAGTGCTGAGGATGTCTGAACTCTGGTGGGGAAAAAACATCATGTCAGAACAGGAATGGTGATGACAGCATCCCCAGGTCTGAAGGGAGGACAGAGAGGGACAGAGCAGAATGTGGGGGAGCCTGGCAATGGACATTTCTGAAACACTTAACCTCCAAGACTTCTGTGACCAACAAGAAGTAAGTTTTCAGAACAGAAGAAGTAAGAGTGCATGTAGCTGTGGAAGAATTTCAAAAAGTATGAAACTGAAGGGCCACAAAACAGGAAGGAAGTGACAGAGGACTAAGAGGCACATGGATGAGGGAGCTGGCGAGGCTCAGGTCCCTAATGGTCCCCACCCAGTGGGTACCCACTCCAGCCTTCTGCAGAGGCCACCTTCATCCTGCTGAGAGGCAGTTCACTCACACCATGGTTCATTTTAACCAGTGGTTGTAACCTTATATGTCCTCAAACTTGTCTTAGAGCTTGACCCTGACATCTCTTCCCACAGCCAATAAGCCCACTGGAGGGAGCAAAGGGCAAGCAGCTCTGAGCCAGGAGTCAGGCCCAGGAGTAGGAGAGGGGCTGGCTTCCCCCTGGGAAACATGAAAGGAAGCCCAGTAGCCAGCATGCCCCGCATGGTCACTGGCCCCAACTTGGGAGAAAGGAATTTTTAGAAAATCTTAAATTATAAGTTTGTTCCTATTTTATTCTACTATGTGCTCTGAGGTTGGAGGAAGCTACCCAAACCTCCCAAAAGAAGTAGCCCCAGATGCAGTAAGTTTTAAAAAGTCTAAGTCCCCTCAGCTCGCCAAACCAACAAATCACTGGCTCTTGAGAATAACCCTAAAGTGCCCCCTGCTGAGGCTGGTTCTCTGGTTTCTATCCCCAAAATGTACAATTGGTCACCTGATTCAGATTCCCGTCCCCTAGGAAGGCTGGTTAGGCTGCCTCTGGGTGCACCCGGAGAGCTTTGAACTCACCTACCCCCAGCCCAGCCAAGGCAGATCATCCCTTCCCAGCCCCAAGTCGCTGAAGGAGGTGTCACTCTGCCATTGGGTGGGAATGGGGGGTTCCTGAAGATACTTCTCTACCCAGAGGAGGGGCACTGGAGAAACACTCTTCCAGGTGCTACCATTCATCATGGCATGGCTGAGCAGACAGCGGTCCCAGACTGCAGGACCAAGGCCTGAGGCTGATTTCAAACACAGCCTTCGGAAACTTAACTGGCCATAACTCAAACAAGGCATTTTAAAGAATGGATTATTGTAAGTATAATAAATTTTACACATGGGCATATAAATAAATCTAAGTTAGAAATATACTTTATCCTATGGGTTCTGGCTATTGTTTAAGCATAGATTTAGGCCTTGGGAACTCTAAAACACCAGCCTCCAATAGAGCTTCATTTCCCCACCTAGCCCCTCATGCACACTCTTCTGTTTCAGCCAGGCAGGCTTCTTACTATCCCCTGAAATGTAGTGCTCAGTAGCAAGTCTAAGATGATGCTTACATTATCCCCTCCTGGATCCAAATCCAGCCCTTGAGTGGCACCCCCACCCCACCATGTGACAGCCTTGCTGTCCCAACTCTTGGGCAAGTGTCTGCAGTCTCTTCCAAGTCTTGGACCACTCCTGCACACACATCCCCGAATACAGCTTAATGTTATGCACACCAAAGTAAAACTCTGTAGAATGAAAATGCCTATTCTGCTCCCCACCAGACACATCTGAAAAGAACAATGAAACATAGAATCTCCTGAGTGGATGAATGGGTACAAAGAGTCAATGCCAATGCTGTTCTGTGGACAGAAGTGCTTTGATTTTCCCAGAGAAAGACACTTAGGTTCTCTGTCTTAAGATATTCATTTGAAAAGGTGGTTTCCTTTTTCTTAATTAAGGGTACAGACACTCTTTGATCTGGAAGGGAGGATAGAGCTAGACCAGGTTTTCCTGGAAACAAACCAAATCACCAGGCCTCCTGACTACTAGCCTTACAAAACCAAAATTGCTGCTTCAGAGTCATCACTTGAGAGGAGCTACAGAGGCAACCAAAAAAGGAAATCCCCAAGAGAACACAAAGAGTGCCCAAGGCCACATTCACAGTGGGGGAGGGTTTGGCCAGGAAACACCTTCCTGTGCTACCCAGAGAGCTAGGACTGGCAGGAGTCAGAATAGGGGAACCAAGCAGGAAAGAACACTGTGTGAGCACCAAGATGGCATCACAGATCTGCCATCAGATGTGAGTGTGCCCAACCCAGAGCCCCAATATTCTCAGCTTGGTAATCAGAGTCCTCTACACAGTATCTGTGACTTCTCTCCTCCAGCTTTTCCCACATGGGTCTCTTTCCTGTCCTCCAAGTGGTCAATGTACATTTCTACCCCCCGGACCTTTGCACATGGCATTGCCTCCTCTTTGTTTAAGTCTCATTTGCTAAAATCCACCTCTGCTTCAGGGCTAGTTCAAATCCCATTTCCTCTTTGAAGTCTTCCTCAAATAATTCACTGTATAGTCTCCTCTCCGTCTTCTGAATGTCTGGAGTATTTAATGCCTATTCCTTATTTGGCTTTTATTATATATTATTTTGCATCATTAGTTAACATCTTTTTAAAAAATCAGTTTACTTCTTATAGAGTGTGGAATTAAAGAAAAGCTGACCTCCAATACTAGGGGCCAAAAAGATTTCTAGAAGTAGGCCTAAGTACTGAAAATGTCATTAACTCTGGGAGTCTCAAATGGCCACCCTTGAAAACTTAAACTTTCTAACTCTATAATGCCATCTTTTAATCAGAACCAAGTTGAAAGCTGAACAAAGTGTGTATCACCACATCTGTTTTCCTTTGTCCTCCAGATTCCTGCTCAAGGACATAAGATAAGATAAGCAAGAATGTTTCCCTTAACCTTAATGCCCTTTTGTGCCAAGATGGTATATCAACTCCAACCCTTTTTTTAGCATCACATATTTTATGTAAGTGGAATATGCTCCTTTGAAATTCTGTCATTTTTCCCTGTTTCCCCAAGGATATAAAAACCTTTGTATGACTTGGGCTCCTGGAAATATTTCTCCTACCCATGGGAGTTAATATTTCCTGGCTTAAGTCCTTAGTTGGGCTCAAATAAAATTATCTTTATTTCAAGGCGATTTTGATGAATTTTTCATCAACAAGAATATCTGGATTATACCCAAACTTTATCACTCACAGTAGCTTCCACATTAGTGGTGCTTGAGAAATGTCTGTTAATTCTATATCAACTACAGACAAGGTATTAAAAAGGTCACAAAGCCAGCATAAGATAGAGTTCTTGCAATCAGGGAACCTATCATTCATTTAGGGAGTCAGTAAAAGACATTTACATAAAACAAACGTGTAACACAAGGAAAATTAGAGGCCAACACATTATGCAAGACTATATAGTGAAAATATCTAAGGAATGAAGGAGGAAAGAGGAATAAGCTAGGGTCATCAGAAAAGAGAATAAACGAGATTTACAGAGACTTTAAATGACTGGCTTTTCACACAAGAAATTGGAATATATTCCAAACTAATTAAAGAAAACAACACAGCAGAATTTGGGATACAGCAAAATGGTGCTTAGAGGGAAACTTATAGCTCTAAATGCTTGTATTAGGAATGAAAGAAGGTCTTAAAGTTAATGATCTAAGCTTTCACTTTACGGAGCCAGGAAAAGAACAATTAAATCTACAGTAAGGAGAAGGAAATAAAAATACTGGGATGCAATGAAATAAAAATGGACAAACAAAAGAGAAAATTCATGAAATTAAAAGTCAGTTGAGGGTGGGCTGGAAGGGCCATGAGGGACTTCCTGGAATAATGGAAATGCTTATGGCCACATGACCCACATTCTTATTAAGATCTTTCTATAGAGGTGTGGGATGTATCGGTGTATGCAGTTTTCAAAACTCATTGATCTGTGCATTTCATCTTACATAGACTGCACTCAAAAAACTTTTTAAAAGGCAAAGGAAATGATTAAGATTCAAAGGAATAATGGGAGGGGGGCAGTCACTGAGAGGAAGTGAGGAAACCAAGCCTGGGAAAGGGCTCTGGTCTTGGCATCTTGGGTGCGGCTGCAGATGAAAATGAAGGGAAAGCAGATCCAAGAACCCAGCAAACTTCCCAAAGACACAGAAAGTAAGGGTTAGGAATGCTCAAATTATGTATAAAGAACTCACATGCCTCAACACCCAAAAAACCAATAACCCAATAAAAAAATGGACAGAGGACCTGAACAGACACTTCTCCAAAGAAGAAATTCATTAACAAATGGGCAGAGGATATGAAGAGACAGTTCTCCAAAGAAGAAATTCAGATAGCCAACAGACACATGAAAAGATGTTCCTCATCACTAATCATCAGGGAAATGCAAATTAAAACCACAATGAGATATCACCTCACACCAATAAGGATGGCTAGCATTGAAAAGACTAAGAACAACAAATGCTGGCGAGGATGCAGAGAAAGGGGAACCCTCCTACACTGCTGGTGGGAATCTAAGCTAGTTCAACCATTGTGGAAAGCAGTATGGAGGTTCCTCAAAAAACTAAAAATAGAAATACCATTTAACCCTGGAATCCCACTCCTAGGAATTTTCCCAAAGGAAACAAGATCCCTGATTCAAAAAGACATATGCACACCTCTGTTTATGTCAGCACAATTTACAATAGCCAAGATATGGAAGCAACCTAAGTGTCCATCAGTAGATGAATGGATAAAGAAGATGTTGTACATATATACAATGGAATACTATTCAGCCATAAGAAAGAAACAAACCCTACCATTTACAACAACATGGATGGAGTTGGAGGACATTACGCTCAGTGAAATAAGCCAGGCAGTGAAAGACAAATGCCAAACGATTTCTCTCATTTGTGGAGTATAACAACAAAGCAAAACTGAAGGAACAAAATGGCAGCAGACTAAGAGACTCCAAGAATGAACTAGTCGTTACCAAAGGGGAGGGGTGTGGGAGGGAGGGAGAAGGGGACTGAGGGGTATTATGTTTAGTGCACATGGTGTGGGG